GTCGAAGTCATCCACGGTAACAATGGGCGTATTGCAAAGGTCTGTATTGAGAGTTTGCGTGGCTCGGACGATTTCGAGAGGACATCGTCTAGAAAGTTTGCTGATAACTTTGCGATACCTATGACGGATGGAACTTCTTTTATAAGATTCCACTATGTCCAGAAGCCATAACTGGTCAAGATTGGTCTTCTTTGATTTCGCGAACATATATTTATAACATAACCTGAAAGATATTGAGACTACAATTAGGTATGGCGTGATTTTGTACTGATCGTCAACTGATTCGAAAAATGTCTTCTTTGTTCAGAAAAGGACCATAAGATGCATAGCAGGTATGTTCAAAATTAAAAAAAGGCACTCGGTATCGACATTTACATTTTCACCCACCCTGTATACTCATTACTGCAAAAAATGCCCAAGAAAAAATTATGAGGTGTGTATCCGAGCATTTTTCTTGAAATCCAATACCTAATTTTGAAATAAGTTCCATATTTTAGCCGTTTACTGTATGATAACTATATGCTATCAAATACAAATATTCGTATGTTTTGTTTAAATCGGTTCGGGAATAAAAAGATGTTACTATCAAGTTCATTTTTTTCTCATGAATTCTGGAGCAGTATTTTACTGGCACACACTTTTTGGATACCCAGCATTTCTGAGTACCAATTGAAAAACTGATTTCATTAACCCATTTAGAATATTTGACTGGTATTCAAAGAATTTAGCATCTTACATGTAAGACTGCATAGCATGTCGTTTAACTATACGCAGTTACCTTTGTTGTTTACGAAGAAATGCAATTAGAATTTCTTTTTTACTTTCGTCTCACCAACGGAAGATTCTCGATTGTTTGGTAGGCACCAGAAATGTCATTTATTAATTTCTTTGATTATTGTGAATATATTGGGTTTTAAATTGCACGGATATAATTTTAAGGTAATTTTAAAATGAAAATAAAAAAAATGTTACTATTATTTATTTATTTTATTTATATATATATATGTATGTAACTATTTGCAAATGACGGTTATAGACGTATAATATTAATAAAAAAAATCGTTTTTTCTATTCCCGTCTGTAAAATACCTAATTATACACGGATCTAGCGTGCGGGAAGCGTCACTTTACCACGTCAGTTTCCTTTCCCACGAATCCGAGCCAGCCGAAGTGTTAGAAAATCTACACATTTGTGACAGTTTCTGTGGTATTGGGCTTAAGGAGTTGCTGACCTTCCATAGGAGGGGCGGCATTCTGGACGCCCTCTAGAGCGGTCTGGGTGCACAACGGGCCCATCTGGTGGCCTAAGTGCTTGAATGCTCGCGAGGAAGCCCCCCTTTAATACCAATACCGCACTGGTTGCATAATATACTATTTTAAACATAACTTAAACTTAAACAGTTCAAAAAACTTAGCTAATCAATATGATTTTTAGGCACTTAAATGTTAGTTTTCAATATAGAACATAATCACCCACCACTCTCTTTCTCCTTGCAAGGTGGCCCTTTCAATAGTTCTGGTCTAAGGGATGACGGTCTTTATAGAGATTTTAAATCTATGAACTTGGGTGCAGTGAGTTTTTGTCGCAGTTCTAATGGGATAAGTTATTTGCTAACAGAACTCTTGAGGATATGGTCAATGTGTTCTACGATATAGTATATAGTAATAGTAATAGCTATCGATATTTACGTTCGCTTGAAGGAGTTTTCGGCTAAAAAGTTTCCAGTTTGGTTTTCCCCAGCGCTTAAAGATACAATAATTGAGAAGGAGAAATCACATAAACGATATCTTAAGAGCCAAATGCAAATTTTTAAAAGTGCAGTGTAACCAGGAATATATATTTCTGACTGAATCGTCCTTAAGAGAAAACGTTAAGAATTTCGTCAACAGTAAAAAGGAATGAAAGTTCATTCCATCGGTGGTGCACTTTGGCGATGTGGCCTGCTCTGTGGGTGACGATATTGTCAATTTATTTGCAGACTATTTTTCGAATATGTACAGTGACGGAGAATGTGTCCCTGAAGATGTACTACCTTCTGCAGATGTCAACCTCTCACACTTGAACATTTTGATTTCATCTATTTACGAGAAACAGTCGACTCTAGAAAAAAACAAAAGATCCGGTCCCGATGGCCTCCCACCATATCTTATTAAGCATTGCAGCTGTATTCTTTCCAGATGACTTTATATTATCTTTAACCATCCTTTAAAAACGGGAACTTTTCCAAAATTACGAAACATTGGAATTCAGGGAAAACTTTTGAAATGGTTAACATCGTACCTTACTGAAAGAGTGCAGATTGTGCGCCCAGAGCTTCCAATCCACCGAAATTAAAGTGCCACAAGGATCGCATCTGGGATCCCTACTCTTCAATGTCTATGTGAATGTTATTGCCTCATGTTTTCAACACGCATTTTTTCTATTATTTGCTGACGTCTTAAAATTCTATATGAGAGTCCATAATGCTAATGACTGTATAAAACTACAATCCGATTTAGATCACCTATCGCTATCGAATGGAACTAAATATTAATAAATGCCAATTAATGAACTTCTACCGGAGCAGAAACCCCATACATTTTACGTATAACATAAAAGGGTCACCGTTATTGCAGGATAAGGGATCTTGGAGTGTTACTCGATATTAAGTTGACTTACACTCACCATGTTTCATTTATTGTGTCTAAATCACTTCAGATTTTGTGCTTTATTAAGCGTTGTACTGTGGACTACCAGAGTATTCCGTCTCTCAGATTACTGTTCTGCTCCCTCGTGCATCCACACCTGGATTATTGTTCCTGTATGTGACTTCGTATAACGTCCACATACAGGCCTGCATAGGTTCCTCCGGTATATAGCATTTAAGGAGCACCAAGGACTTGAGGACGTTGATTACTCGGAATTGGAAAACTCTCTCCAACTTACAAGTTCTTCAGATTCGTCGCATGCAGAGGGATCTCACCATTTCTTATAATCTATGTTTCCATGGAACTGACCTGTTATGTAAGATTAGTACTGTACATTGTGTTGGTGCCTCGCTACTCTTATAAGTGTCCTTACTGTCGTGTCGACTAACTATACTAATATTAATATTTTGGAAAACCAATGTTTGTCATATTAGGGTAATGTCTTCATCTATCTATTTAATTTTGTTTTATTTTATCTTATTTTATTTTGTTGCTTTGTTGTTTATGTGAATCCTATTTTATATTGGACGGTTGGTCAGTTGATAAATAATAGATAAATAAATAAATAAATAATAGTGGCTTATCTGTGCAACCTTTGCATAAGAATGAAGTTTTCTTTCTAATTATTTTCATATGATGTTCCAGGTTCAATAGTTAGAAATGTCCTTGGTTGAGCGGTGCGTGTCTTTCTTACAAAATTTTGAGCATTTAGCAGAACATTTCCTGAAAGTTGAAGCAAACTCTAAATTATATTCTCTCGAAGACCTACAAATGTTTCCTCAAGGCGGATCGTCTTGTAAATGTAATAGGAATTCCAAAGCCATAGGTCCAAGACAAGGAATATAACTTTATTATACCATCGTATTGTTTTACGAGGTGAAGCATAGTACTGAATCAATTATATTTATCGTTGTGATCGACAATAGCTTTGAGTTTTATTTTCATGTGTCCAAAAATTCTATCCATGTCGAAAAATATACGTCCCCAAATCGCCTTCACAGAAGCTCCCCTTTTTAAGTTGAGCATCAACCACTGCTTTTGGATTGCCTCTGCTTTTTTTACGAAGGGTCTCGGTTGGGTGCGTTTTGCGACTTAGCAATTCTTAGGATACCTGATCTGAGTAGTAATAGTTATTTATATCTATAAAAGGCCCAAGATTAAAGTAAGGGCTTAATAGTATTGTTACAATGACGTAAGTTTTTAATCCGATTTCATCTGAATCGATAAATTTTGTTGAGTACATAAGTATCTGAAGTTTATTCCATAGCCACCTTTTTTGTAGCATGTAATAATAAGAGTGATTCATCTAAGTAATTTTTTTTAGCACTTTATTATTTTTTTAATTTCTTTTAAAGAAACTAACAATGAACGTTGAAGGACAATGATTAAAACAAAATTAAGAAGGAAAAGAAAACTTTTATTATAAACGTTTGCGTCATATTAAGCACGTACTTTAATTGAACTGAGGTGACTTTTACTTGATGAAAATCCATTTATCAAAATAAATAAGAACTAAAAGTTCAGGTTTTCACGTACTTTAAACAAAAAAACTCCATGATACCATTGGAATGATAAGCCGATGATTACAATAAATAAAATTATTCGTAAGCAATCTGTTTGTTTGACAATTTATGTTGGTTGACAATGAAAAAAAAATGAAGGGCGGACGTCGTTCTCGCGTTTGGCTCGGGCTCGGTCGAGTGAAGTCGGACGAGTTCGGCTTGGCTGGCGCGAGACAACGCGTCACCACAGATCAGATAGACATTATGTTCGTCTGATGCGTTCGTTTTTTTTTGTTAAATGGTGAGGCTGATTCGATTTGATACCAAGTACTTTTGTTTCGATACCGAGTAAATATCGCAAGATTGATTCGATGCTATAAATACTTGGTATCGAATCAAAAGTATCGAGCACCTACTCGTATTTACTAGTATCAGAATATCCCTATCAGTAATCAAAGCACACTTGATTCAAGAAAATGTTTTTGCCTGGTTATGCAGTTCTTATTTACCGATAATTTGTTCAGTTTCTATTATTTTGATGGGCCGATATGCTCATCCGAAACACTGTGCGGCGATGCCTTTGTGTTTTCTATGTACTAATTATCTAATTTTTATACATAATTGAATAAATAATCAACAAAAACCTGCCCGGCCGGAACTCGGTGGACGCGAAAGCACAAACCCACCGACCAGTGACAAAAAAGCCACGGAGCAAAAGGGGAATTGACGATTACCCCCCGAAGAAGCTTGTGCAACGGGCGTGTATACTCAATAACGTAGGTATAACTCCCATTCAGTCTTCGGCGGTTATTCACGTGGTACGGCATGGGCCACCTTTGATCAATCGGGATCGACTCTCGCGTTTTTAGCCGCTCTCGAAAGGATCAACATTTTTAGTGATTAATTTTACAAATGGGGTTTAGATGCTTAAATGTTGTGGCGCATGAGTCGCTGGTCGCGAAGGATTTGTGCGGTTTTAAGTGTTGAGCTTTCGTACTTAATGGATTGATGCTCTATTGGCGTATGTACATATATATTTTTAAAGTTTAATTAGGTTTAATTAGTGTGGCTCTTAACCAAACTTAACAGATCGATGCTGATATTTTGTTTTTATTTAAGTGGAACAAAGACTGACAGTGGCTAGAAATATCTATTTTCGCATTTATGTAGTAAAAATATATCGGAATAGGCTTACCTAAATTTTGAATTTTAGTCAAACTGGTTTGCAACTTTGAATATATCTATCGATTTCTCCTACTGAAAGCTTTTGTGTTATATTTATATCACTTACTGCATTGCTAAGTTAGCGGTCTATTTTGATATTTTGAAAATAAATACAGAGAACTGTCAATAAATATCTAAAGAAAGTTAAAAACTTCAATGAAAAAAACATTCAAAGTTATTTTCTTCAAAAGCAACACTTTGTATAATGTTGGATGGATTGTTAGGTTTTGCTGACTTCCTCCAAGTTTCGATATTAGTGCTTGACAGTTTTATGCCCTTTAACATAGTTATTTCTTATTGATATTATTATTCTAATAAAAAAATAACATCGCTTTTCTATACAACGTTCTACTGAATAAAAGATGGAGCTAAATGGAAGTAAATAAAACAAATTAAAAAGATAGTTTATTATTTAAAATGTCACCAGAGACTACAGGGTGCTACCAAAAAGTTGTCTAAACAACCAAATATGAATTGCGCGTTCTTCTAAAAAAGTAGGGCAATAATACCCAAGTTGAGAGTGTGTATTTTTAATAGTCATCAAGACAATGAGAAAGAGGATGAAAAATTTGGGATGTATTTGAATATCATCCGTAATTTTCTTTGTTTTTCAAATTAATTTTTATAATTTAGTGCAAATTTTAGATAATAGATAATAATAGAAAAGTAATTTTCTTTTTTTATCTTAAAAATTCAAATTGATAGAACAATATACGGAATATTACACAAGTATTACTATTATGAAAACGCACTTTCTGCATAGTATTTTATTTTTGTAGAGTGAGTGGGGGCGAATGAATTAGACTACGATTAGAAACTACGATTAGTATGCGCTTGTGTATAAACAAAGACGACAAGCTTCCAAAAAATTTCAGTTTGCACCCCACTACATATAATATTGTTGAAACATTTAATGATTAGATAATACGTTTTCGATTAAATTAGTCGTATTTTGTATTCAAACTAACTTCGCAATGTCCAACAAAGAATAATAAAGAACCCATAAGACTTGACAGCAGCCCACTAGATTTTTTTTTATTTCGTTACATCATTTAGATCTTATTTTTTTATTTTACGTTAAGGAATATGGTTGGCTTTTAAGGCAACGTTTATATGACAAACTACCCTTTTATGTTAAACAAGGAATCACCTCCTTAAGTTTTACGCATTTGTTTTGAAACTATGGTTTATCTGAATTTTGAACACTCGCAGCTTATATTTACATTTTAAGACTTCCTGTTTAGTGCTTACGGTTCAATAAAATAACTTCTAAATATTGTTACTTATAAATGCTATAATATTATTATTCAAAACTAAAAGTTTTGCGGCTGGACCAACTGAATTATCAACACATTGCATTTTCATTGGTTAACACAATGATGACGTCACTCGCCACATAATACCGTTTGACATTTTCGCGAACCCCTCGGTGTACACAGAATATTTAATTAACCATGCCATTTGTGAATTAGCGCGTGGAAATTATCTCTTCGATTATTACTATTAATTATCGATTTGGACATTTTGAAGAAAGGATGAGGCGTTCCTATCTTGCATCCGGTTAGGAAAGGCGCTAATTAAACATCACAAATGGGCCGCAATCATGCGAAATAGCGCGAAATCACTGCCGAATTAGACAAAATCTCAAACGATATTGGGCTACGGGTGACGTCATCATTGTGTCAACCAATGAAAATGCGTGGTGATAATTCACAGTCACAAAAGTTTTAGTTTCGAATAGGTCATGGATGATATTAAATTATTTTTACCGCACTTGTCGCATAATATACAAATTTTCTACTCCCGTATGTAAAATTCCTAATTACACATGGATCTTGCGTGCAGCAAGCGTCACTTTACTACGTCCCTTTCGTTTCTCACGAATCCGAGCCACTTCGGACATTTCCGGAATTTTACCGCACGGGTTTAGGTTCGGTTGGGTAAATTTTTTAAGTCACTCGTTTATTAAACACTCGCTCCGCTCGTGTCAAGTAAACTCGTGAGTCAAATGCCGTTTATCGCACTTGTTGCATAATATACTATTTCCGCCGTATTTGTAGCGTGATATATCGGTAATGGTTGGCTTTTGGCCCAACGTTTACATAACCAATCAGTTATTTTAAACAAGGAATCACACCTCTAAAGGTTTTCGCAATTGTTTTGAAACACCTTCTATATATGAGAAATTTGCTTTTTATACAGGAAGTATAAAGTGCGAAAAGTTAATAGGGGAAAACCTTGAAAATCTGTTACCTGCAATTTGCAGTAAGTGATAAAAATTGATTTGATAAATAAAAAAAAAGTATGGATGGTCTTCAAATGAACAGTGAATCCCAAATTCTTCGATCTCGTTTTGTTTAAGCATCTTGATAACCATCAATGATAATACACACTGCTAGCTTGGATATATTTAGACTAATTATTTGGTTCTTTCCTCAACTTTAGCTAAAAACTATCCTATTAATTTGCATTATTTACTACCATTATTTACTTTTTATTCAGTAAAACGTTGTTTCGAAAGGAGATTATTTGTTTTCATTAAAATCAGAATAACAATAAAAAAATGAGTTTGAATGAAATTTCTTATATAGTTACGTATTGACAACCCTGTCTATATTTATTTTGAAAATATCCAAATAGTCCTCTAGAGTTAGCCATCCTATAAGGAAATCAACCCCAACCAACCACATTTTAGTGATTTTCAATATAATTACTAGATTTTGAGTTTTGATTTTATTTTGAGTCCATTTTATTTTTTCAGTTTTCAATAAATCTACACTTCTTCATGAGGACTGCTTTCAATTTATTTTTCATAGTCATTCTAAAAATTATATATACAGTCAGCTAAAATTCGTATGGACATGATTGATGCTCTTAAATCGTAATAAAAGTTTTGTAAAAGCCCAATTTGTTTTCTATTGGCACACTAAACAAACGCAATTTTTGGTTAGGTTTGGTTAGTTTTTAACTAGTCAGTTAAGAATTGGTCAATTGATCGGTCAATTAAGAAATGGTCAATTCGGCAGTCCCGACACTAGTCCTACTCCCACGATAGAACTTTAATTTGTGGGTTTTCGAAATAGTCCAAATCATCACGATTAATCTTCTCAAATCTTTTATTTTGTGTAATTTGTGTCCTTTACTCTTCTTGATTTATATAAATGATCTTCATAATGAATGGTGGATGGATTGTAAATTTTACGTTAAAGTAAGTACATTCGTTTGGGGATTGTCACAATCTGCAACAGGATACGGAGTGGAGTAGAAACAAACAAAATTATTTTAATATACACCACCATAAGCAAAGCTCTCAAAATTGCTAGGTTTTCTAATATTATGGATATTTTTTGTAAGTTACCTTCAACTTAAAATGAGTGGGATCTATCCAACTCTTTTGTCGTCTTCAGATTTGATTCGAATACATGGCGACCATGGCGTTTAAAACAATATTGTATATATAATAATAAACGGTCTTACTGCTTACTAACAATTTATTTTTTTCTGTCCTAAGTACAACGTAAATTCTTTCCATTTACCTGCGACCAAAAGCAATATAATGCTTTGTGCCCCAATTTTGATAATACGGTATGTTGTGAACTCTGTTGATAGAGATACTGATTTTTGTAATAAAACTATATGTTGCGTAAAACTTTGGAAGCAGTGTATTTTTCTTGATTGTTTAAGTACGTTTTCATCTACAGAAGTAGTTATCTTTAGTATTAATTTAACGCATCGAAAATAGCTTAGATTTTTTTGTTGTTTATAGTTTGCTTGCTTTTGTTAGGTATTGTTTATTATGCTTCTGGTAATATTATTAATATTTTAAAGATTTACCTGGGAAATCATTGGGAAAATTTGCGAAATACTGTGACAATTTTTGCCAGGGCGGTGAACCTTTCGCAAAAAAATTACAAAGGTCTTTTTTTTTTAATATCGAGGTTATTAAGACACCAAGTCTCCATCGTACACCCGATTCTTATAAATAGTCCCGCGTGTAATGTATACGAAATATCTCTTTTCAAATCAAGATAAGAGGCTGCTGTTTTGGGGGCCAATTAATTTGTACCTCTCTAAATGTTTCAAATCAACGATCAGATACAAACAGATTTGTAAGATCGTAATCGGTCGTTAATCGTACAAACAATTAAGCGAGATTGTAATGGTTGCTTTTAATTTGATTCGGAATTTGCTGTCGATGCTGGTACGCAACGGAAAAGCAAATAGAAAGAAAGTATTTTGCGTGTACCATTAAATGTGCTCGGCAAAATCTCGTCAACATTAAAGTAACGATAACCATTTACTCGGGAGCTAAATGATGTGGGCAACAACCTGCCGCGGAACAATGCAACAGATTCAGAATGATTAATGATGATGACCGCGTCGATTTTTCCGAAACTTTTTTAAAAATGGCCTTATAACGGACAAAGAGTCTTTCTTTAATAAACGCTGCATGGTTTGACCAATTTTCCTTGACGTTTTTCTTACGTTTGCATTTTCTTTTTTTGTATTCCGTGCAAATATCCGAAAAATTTCTGATGTTAGCAATATTTAAAGTGACATTTTAAAGCTGAGACAAATTCTTTTTGTTTTAATGCTTTTTACTCTACCTGTTCAAGGAAAGTGGTGGAGGCTTAACGCATTTTAATAAATCGGAAGTCGTTACAAAAAGCAAGGCTATCAACACTTGATTGCGATAGCTTACTCTGCCACCAGGTGGCGTTTACTGATATAATCTCAAAAAAATGTGAAAAAAGAATGCTACGCTTGGCTTGTTAATTTTTTCAAGAAACTTCCACT